GGATTCTAGCGTTATAGTCCACAGGCCACGTTTACTGCGAGTGATTTTTGCGTTACTTATAACATTGAAAGAAAAATGACCCCTACGATCAGGCCCGTCATGGCCATTTGATTAGGGCGCTCGACTCGCAATTTGCGGGTTCGAATCTCCGTCCCACCAAACATGTTCGCTCTTTCAGCCGTGGGGGCATTATAATGTGACGGTCAAACCCACTATTCGTTGGTAAAAGAGTAGCCCAAGAGTTGGCGGTGGGTGGTGATGACTAGCTGCCTTCCCTTACACTGCTAAATTAGGGACGGCTATCGCAGATAGCCCTCGTGTAGTAGCTTTGCGCGAAATCCGTAACAAACAAACTAACTGAAAACGTTACTGATTCGTCAGAAAGGTTCGTACCTGGATCACTAGGCTTAATCCGAAGTCGTTTCAAAAGGACCCAACAAATATGGCAGCACAACTCCCTTATACGTATGAATATGTGGCAGTTACACCGGTGAGGGTCACCCAGAAAAACCTGGATAAATAATCAAGATTCAGAAATTAGATGGACTTGCTAAGAATAGATAAAAAAATTGTAAAAAAGAAAGAAAGAAAAATGAAAACCGCCTAATATTAGATAGGTTCAAAATTATCTTTCCTGTTTTAAAATTTATTAATTAAATAACTAAGGTTTTTGTTTTGTTTTGTTTGTTTGTTATTAAGCATAAAGCTACATAATGGGCTATCTGTGCTCTGCCCACCACTGGTATCGAAACCCGGATTCTAGCGTTGTAAATCCGCAGACATACCGCTGTGCCACTGGGGGGCAAATAACTAAGGAAATACAACCATGCAGTTTTCAACATCTTGTAGCCAAATTCAAACAGTTTTTATTGTCATATGTTGTTGTTTTTTATCATCATGTTTTTTGTTTTGTTTTCACTCCAGTGAGTAGTGTTACCCCGTAAATGGCAATAGTGCAAGAAAGGCTCAATGGGTCGTTTGGCTTGCAGAGATCAAATCAGTGACTGTGGTGCAGCGTAAATACAGAAGCCAGTACAGGATAGAAGTATGGGGGGTATGTTAAGGATATCGTATATCGCACACCAATAGCAAACATCACGGAGGTAAAGACACGGATAACGGACGCCATCGCCGCTGTAACTGTGTACATATTGCAACGAACGTGGACTGAAATCGAACATCGGTTAGATGTGTTGAGAGCCACTAATGATGCACACGTAGAATTCTACTGACATGTCAATAAAAACTGTTTGAATTGGGCTACAAAATGTTGAAAAGTGTATCGTTATATTTCCTTACTTTGTCAACCATTACATTTTAAAATAAGAATGATAAGTTTGAACCGCACTGTACATTATGAGGAAAAGCATCAAGATTACAGCTGACAACGCTATTAGGATTTTTTTTTATTTTAAGAAGTGAAAACCGCTCATCTTCCTTAGGCGTAATCAAAATGCGATCAAAAATGTATCCAATGTAACATAGTAATACTAAAACCTACACATTAACTTAAAAAAATCGTCAAAAGTTATAATTTTTCATGGGAAACATTTATGAAGAAAGAAATTGGAATTATGTATATAAAAATGTTATTTTCAAGGTAATTTCAAAGTGTAACTGAAGTATTGTATATTATTTTAACTTCTCACATTTGTTTAACTCAAGTGTCTGCTGGCTGACATTTCATTCTATAAGATGTATAGCCGAAGGCGTCGTGCAGACAAGTATTTTGATGGACTACAAACATAACGCTAGTAATTTAAAGGTTACAGAATTATGTAACTAGTGAAAATACGCTCTGTTACGATATGTATTTTGGCTATCATTCTGAGCCTGCCGTGGCCAGGTGGTTAGGGTGCTCGACTCCCAATCTACAGGTTCGAATGACGTCACTGAACATGCTCGCCCTTTTAGAAGTGAGGCAGTATAATGTGACGATCAGTTCTACTTTTCGTTGATAAAGAGTAGCCCAAAAGTTGGCGGTGGGTGTCGTTGACTAGCTGCTCTCCCTCGATTTCATCACTTCTAAATTTGGAACGACTAGTGCAGATAACCTTAGTGAACTTCAACAAAAAACAAGCTATCGTTTTGGTACACAAATACACTCGTACAAATGTGAGTTAACAGATATTGCATGAACTATATATTTTCATTGAACCATAAAATACACACTCAAGGACGTTCTGTTTATTGGACCATAAAATACACACTCAAGGACGTTCTGTCTATTGAACCATAAAATACACACTCAAGGACGTTCTGTTTCTTGGACCATAAAATACACACTCAAGGACGTTCTGTTTATTGGACCATAAAATACACACTCAAGGACGTTCTGTTTATTGGACCATAAAATAAACACTCAAGGACGTTCTGTTTATTGCAGTAATCAAATAAATAGAATGTATGAATAAAAAACAAAAAAAACATTGGCATCTGTTACCAGAGCAATTGTTCCACCAATAGTTAACAGCACTCACCGATTCAACAGATTTATAGTTAACAGTACTCTTCGGTTCAACAGATTTATAGTTAACAACACATTCCAATTCGACAGACTTATAGTTAACAGTACTCTCCGGTTCAACAGATTTATAGTTAACAGCACTCTCCGGTTTAACAGATTTATAGTTAACAGCACTCTCTGGTTCAACAGACTTATAGCTAACAGCACTCTCCGGTTCAACAGATTTATAGTTAACAGCACTTGGATGAGGTTGATTCAGGCCATGTTTTACTATGGGCTATATGGTACATTGAGTGAGTGTGGACTGGATATCTAAACTCACTAGAATGGATGAAGTTGATCCAGGTCATGTATCACAATAGGCTATATGGTACACTGAATGTCGACTGGATGTCCAAACTCACTGGAATGTATGAAGTTGATCCAGGTCATGTTTCACTATGGGCTATATGGTAAACTGAGTGAATTTCGACTGGATGTCCAAACTCACTGGAATGGATGAAGTTGATCCAGGTCATGTATCACAATAGGCTATATAGTATACTGAGTGAATGTCGACTGGATGTCCAAACTCACTGGAATGGATGAAGTTGATCGAGGTCATGTTTCACTATGGGCTATATGGTACACTGAGTGAGTGTGGACTGGATGTCCAAACTCACTGGAATGGATGAAGTTGATCCAGGTCATGTTTCACTATGGGCTATATGGTACACTGAGTGAGTGTGGACTGGATGTCCAAACTCACTGGAATGGATGAAGTTGATCGAGGTCATGTTTCACTATGGGCTATAAGGTCCACTGAGTGAGTGTGGACTGGATGTCTAAACCCACAAAAGAGAAACCAGTCTATATTCGGGAATGAGGTCGTCAACATTCACATCATCCATGTAGAAGCTGAATAGGTGGGTATGAGTCTAATTTTGTTGCGTCAGATTTGATTAAACAATCCACTTACTTGAGCAACTGAAGTACGTCTGTACTGAATTGACTTCTGAGAGTCGCGAGCATCGGATCTACCGATAAAAACAGGTAACTCTGTATCGATCGTTTCCAGTCAGCATAGTTTGAGTGAACAATTATTTGTCGCTTTCCTTCTTCCAGTTTCAGAATCTGGGAACAAAACACTGATACTGTTCTGCTATCTGTTCCTAAAACTGGAAGTCATTCTGCTGTTGTTCAGATGTCTCTAGCATGACCTAAAAAGTCGCGGTCAATACCTTCATGGATATTTTTTGAGATCACGTTGTACAGTTTTAGAAGATTATTTAATATTGTCAAACATAAAAAAAAATTCAAAACCCATGGTTTTTAGCAAGGCGATGGTTCCTTCAGAGGTTCCACAGTCAAGAGTGCAATCCTTGGTGATGTTTTCCAAAAAACGTTGTATACATCACAAGTCGCCCTCCAGTAGCACAGTGGTATGTCTGCGGACTTATACTGCTAGAAACCAGGTTTCGATACCCGTGGTGGGCTGAGCACAGATAGCCCGTTGTGTAGCTTTGTGCTTAATAACAAACAACGTCACAAGTCCAGCTACAAAATGAAGTTCAATTCGAACAGTAGCCTGGAGTGGTGACGTTAACAGTCTACAGACCAAGTTATTCTTGAAGTCCAGCAACAAAATGAAGTTCAATTCAAACAGTAGCCTGGAGTGGTGACGTTAATAGGCTACAGACCAAGTTGTTCTTGTAATAACTCAAAAACTTAAACTGACCAAAGCTTGTAAATTTATTTAAATGTTTCATGGCAACTTTGAAACGTGGCCTTAAAGTTTCTTTCACCCTCGCCAATATTATGAATTAAGGTGCAATTTATTATAAGGAATCCAACAGATAACAAACCATATGAAAATTCTATACAAATAAAACGTAATTAAGTAAGATGTATTGATATATAGAAGTATGTTGTAGGTCAAACCACCGAGCCCCCCCCCCAGTGGCACAGCGGTATGCCTGCGGACTTACAAAGCTAGAATCCGGGTTTCGATACCCGTGGTGGGCAGAGCACGGATAGCCGATTGTGTAGCTTTGTGCTTGATTACAAACAAACAATCAAACCACCGAAAACAACAGATATATATATATATATATACTGTTGTGAATACAACGTTTCGGGTAATGCCAACAACTATATATGTATCTGTAGTTAACTCCTTGTTGTCTTCTGTGGTTTGACCTACAACATTTTCTTTTTTTATCTCTTTCAACAACCACTACCCAAGATCTATTGATGGATTTAGTTTAGAAATATTTGCTTTAATAGTTTGATAAATTTCTTAGTTTTTTCCTGTTGTAATGTTTTAAGCCTACCTTATATTGTCTTTCGCTATTTGCTTCTTTCAGGAGAAATCCCGTTGGTCCAATGTCTCGTAAGATGTAAATAACAGTTTTCTGAGCCTTTTCTTGTTGTTTCCGTACTGCTAAAGGGCAAGTAAGTCTCCAAGGGACACTTCGTGACATTTCCACAAAACTTGGGAATAACTTAAACGTGTCTAAAATTACATTATTATTCACAGGGTGCACGTTTCCACCCCGCCTAGTAGAACTGACCATACGTAAAACACTCAGTTCTACTCTACGGGATGGAAACGTGAACTCTGTCTCCTGAAACAAAACGACAGTTGAAAACATTTGAAATGTGTTGTTACTGACGAATCATGAAGATCAGCTACATAGGAAAAAAAAACACGAATGAGGAAGTCTGGAAGGTGTAAAGACAACTAAACTAATGAGGAAATCTGGAAGGTGTAAAGACAACTAAACTAATGAGAAAGTCTGGAAGGTGCAAAGATAACTAAACTAATGAGGAAGTCTGGAAGGTGCAAAGACAACTAAACTAATGAGAAAGTCTGGAAGGTGCAAAGACAACTAAACTAATGAGGAAGATGTAAAGATAAAATTACAACTAAACTAATAAGGAAGATGTAAAGATAAAATTACAACTAAACTAATGAGGAAATCTGGAAGATGTAAAGATAAGATTACAACTAAACTAATGAGGAAATCTGGAAGGTGCAAAGACAACTAAACTAATGAGGAAGTCTGGAAGGTTCAAAGACGAAAAGACAATCAAACTAATGAGGAAATCTGGAAGATGCAAAGACAACTAAACTAATAGAGGAAGTCTGGAAGGTGCAAAGACAACTAAACTAATAAGGAAGTCTGGAAGGTGCAAAGATAAAAACAACTGATGGATATAGTAGGAAACGGAAGATACGATACTTAGTATATAATTAGATCTGAGGGAAGATTAGCAGAGGTTCTGACGGGTAAAATCAAAGGAAGAAAAGCGAGAGGCAGGTAGAGACCACTTGGTTCGATGACATTCGAAAATGGAGTAAAGATAAAAAGCATGAGTTATGAAAGGTGGTGCAGGCAGCGAGGAATGAATAAATAAGCCATGGACTCTCAGAATTCGGGACTTTGAGGACATCGTGACTGATTGATTACTCAATTCAATAGAGTGGTGTGAAAGGATCAATTCCTTCCATAGGTAAATGACTATAAAAGGGACCAATTCCTCCCATAGGTAAATGACTATAAAAGGGATCAATTCCTCCCATAGGTAAACGACTATAAAAGGGAACAATTCCTCCCGTAGGTAAATGACTATAAAAGGGACCAATTCCTCCCATAGGTAAATGACTATAAAAGGGACCAATTCCTCCCGTAGGTAAATGATAATAAAAGGGATCAATTCCTCCCATAGGTAAACGACTATAAAAGGGATCAATTCCTCCCGTAGGTAAATGATAATAAAAGGGATCAATTCCTCCCATAGGTAAACGACTATAAAAGGGATCAATTCCTCCCGTAGGTAAAT